CCATCTTCTATCCGCCTCCTCCTCTCTCCCTATTTATTTCAGAACCCCCTTCCCCTCCCCCATTTCTGATGAAGGGTCTAGGCCCGAAACGTCAGCCTTTCTGCTCCTATGATGCTGCTTGGCCTGCTGTGTTCATCCAGCTCTGCACCTTGTTGTCTCACTTATCTAGCTCATCCCCATTGTAAATACCCTGGAGGGGACTCCTCTAATCAACTAGTCAATTTTGCACTCTGTTCCTTGGTTTTCTTGATAGCAGCTATACTTGGAAAGCCTGTTTACATTTACTTTAACTCTACCCTTCCTCACGTTGAATAGCTAAACTTTGATCCTTCTTGAGTTCACTTTTTCTGAGTCTCTCGTCTCAGGCACCCAAGCACTAAAAAGTTCCTTCCTCTCAAATCTCTCCCAATACATTAATGCCCTGATAGAGAAGAGGATGCCCAAAGCTGTGACTCTATTTCAAATGTGGCCCTACCAATAGGCTATATGTGTTTGCAACTTCACCTTGGAGTCCAATTTCTGCACTTGCATTCCAGCCACTGTTTAGCCGCAGTTTATATGGCCCGAATATTCTCAATGAATAGTTGATTGCCCAAATTTGTTACTTTTGTGAATGATCTACCCCACCCAGCAGGGGCAACCTCTTTGGTTCCAATTTCAAAATCAGTATTCACCTTAAAATCCAATTGTCTTGCCTGGTCTTTCTACTCATACAACTCTAAGCTGTCCCACTTTGGTTTTTTGACCTTCTGCACAGATTGATATCATCAAGGAAGTCCACAATATTCGAAAAGTATAAACTTTTTCCAGTTCAGAGGAGAGGTTGAAGAAGTTGGAACATTTCTCCCTGGAGAGAAGAAGGTGAAGTGGAGATCTGATAGAATTCTTTCAAAATCATGAGTGGGTTGGATAGGGGTAAGCTGTTCCTGGTCCGAAAAAAACACGCAAACAAAGCAAGGGTGATGTGAGGAAAAAAACCTTTGCACCCAGCAAGTAGTTAGGGGACTGGCATTCACTGCCTAGAAATGTGGTGGATGCAGGTTGAGTTGAGGCATTCACAGGGAATTGGATGATATTTGGTTAGAAATAATGTGCAAGGAAATCAAGAGAAAGCAGGAGATTGGCACAAAGTAATGATGCCCATTTGAAGGGCCAGTGCAGCTACAATGGGCCAAATGGCCTCCCTTTGTGCCATAACAGTTCTGTGATGTTTCTGAATAAAATAACGCAGGTTGAACTTAACGTGGGTGTAGAATTCTACCAATGGATTACAAAGGTTTGTGATATTTGGGAAACAGCACAGAAACAGGACCTTTGGCCCAACCCATTCATGTTGGTATTTATGTTCCCTTCGAGACTCCTCCCATTTTTCTACCTAAATCTACCACTGTAACCATCTGTTCCCTTCTCCTGCAAACCTGTCTGGATTCCCCTTAAATACATTGATATTATTTGCTTCAACTGCTCCTTGTGTTCACATGTTCCATGTCCCTACCATGCTTTGTGTAAAGAAGTTCCTCTGAAATCCCTGTTCAATTTCTTTGTGACTGTTTTACATTGATCGCCCCTCAGTTATGCCCTTTACTCCAAAAGGAAATATTCTCTCTTTATTCACTCGATCAAAATCTTTCATAGTTTTAAAGATGGCTGATCGGTCATCCCTCAGTTTTCTCTTTGCAAGAGACAAGGTATCCAGCCTATCAATGATTTCCTGATATATCTAGCATTTATGGTGCTATACGGTACCATATAATTTATGTCTTCATTCCTGTAAAATATTTCTGCATGTTCTCTAGTGCCTCTATGTTTGTTCTTTAATATGACTATCAGAACTGCATAGAGGTTTGGGGTTGATAATACCACTGGACTAGTAATCCAAAGTCCCAGACTAATGTCAAGGGTACATTGGTTCAAATCCTACAAAGGCACTTGGTGAAGTTTGAATTCAATAAAACCCTGAAATCTTCAAGAGAAGGAAATATGCCATCTTTAAATGGTCTGGTCAACATGCAACTCCAGGTCCCTACAGAAAAGGGAATGATTCTTAACAGAATGATATGACCTAGCAAGCTACTTAGTTCAAGGGCAATTATGAATGGGCAATAAAAACTAGCTCAGCTGGAAATGCCCACATCCATTGAATAATAAAAAAACGCTCTTGTGTTGCTCAGCCAATTTTTGATGCAGGTTTAGTTTAGTTTAGTTGTCTTTCAATTTCTATCCCTTTAGAAATACAACAAAGTGTTGATGGCACCAGTGTCTTCAATAAGAGGTTCCAGTGGCTTAATTTCGTAGCTGTCCACTTTTATTGCTCTATATTTACCAGTACAGTAGTGTAACACAAAGGCGTAACAATTTTACACCCTTCTAATCTTAATACTCAGCTCTCTCACATGCATACAACACTTAGTGAGCAGAGTTTTGTGTAGATGGTTAAGCTAAGAGATGTCACAGCAAGTGAATATTAATGGGGACAGTCGTAATCAGGCTCATACATTTCTATAAACATTCTGGATCTTAGCATGGAACAGACAACGCAGGAAAAGGCTAAGTGGTCTATTGCACCTGTGTCAGCTCCTCACACTCTCCTGATTCTCCCTGGGCACCTAAAAATGTTTTATTTCTGAGTGTAGATAATTTTTTCCTCAATATGCTCCAACATAGGGTTATGGTTTATGACATACCTCCAGGGCAGGTGGGAAGTGAACACAGACTTTCCTGACTGTGGTTAACAATACATTATTAGGCCCCTGCTGTTTTGGGGAACAATGAATATGATGTGTTTCTCAATTAATGAGACAAGTTAACAAGTGGTTACAATTTACGATCCATAGGGGAACAACTTTAATGCAAGTTCATTACCATAATAACTGTTTAGGTGTATATTAACTAGGCTTTTCTTTGCATTCAGGTGGAGAATTGCTTTATCATGCACAGAGTTGTACAGCATGAAAACTGACCCTTTGGTTCAGCCAGTCCATGCCAACCATAATCCCAAACTAAACTAATCCCACCTGCCTGCGCTTGGCCCATATCCCTACACACATTTTTTCCCAGAGTTGAAATGACTAATGCCAGGGGTCATGCATTTAAGGTTAGAGGGGGAAAGTTCAAAGGAGATGTGAGGGGCAAGTGTTTTACACATACAGTGGTAGGAGTCTGGAACGCACTGCCAGGGCTGGTGGTGGAGGCAGATACAATAGGAACATTTGAGGGACTTTTAAATTAGCACATGAATATGCAAGGAATGGAGGGATATGGACCAGGGGCAGGCAGAAGGGATTAGTTTCATTGCGGGCCAAAGGGCCCATTCCTGTGCTGTACAGTTCTATGTTCTAAGTTAACATTTCTTATTCATGGATTTAGCTAAATGTCTATACCTACATCTACCACTTCCTCTGGAAGTTGATTCCACACCCGAACCACTCTCTGTGGAAAAATGGTGCCCCTTATGTCCTTTTTAACCCTTTCTCCTCTCACCTTAAAAATATGTCCCCCAGTCCTCAACCCTAGGGAAAAGACACCTGCCATTCACCTTATCTGTACTTTTGATGCTTTTATAAACCTTTATAAGGTCACCTCTCAGCCTCCTACGTTCCAGTGAAAAAGCTCCCAGCCTGTCCAGCCTTAAATCCTTGCATTTAAATCCAATATTAATACCTGCACATACACTGATCCTGAGGCTGCTTGCTCCTTATCACTTTGTTAAGTTCTCAAATCCTGATATACTGTATTAACATCTGCATACAGCTCTTTAGTGCAGTGTCCAAGACCTTTCTCTTCACATGTTCATTCTAAACTGGTGCCTTCTCTCTGGCTGATGTAAGAGTTATGCTATACATCATCATGAATTACATCAAATTAAAACCTGAAAAAACTGCAGGTACTGGAAATCAGAAACTAAAACAGAAATTGTCAGAATAGCGCAGCAGGCCTGGAAGCATGTGTGGAGAGAAATCAGAGTTTATGTTTTGGGTCCAGTTACCCTTTCTCAGAATATCAGAACTAGGATTTACATCAATCTCATTATACCACAGTGGGCAGTAACTGGGGATTTGTTTGTTCTCTGATACTTAAGAAACTAGTTTCGTGGATTAGGAAGTACATGCTTGTAACGCGTGATTCTGTAAGTATAACCTATAGACTGTAAATATAAGCAATAGAGACTGTAAATATAAGCAATAGATTGGGTTCTGTGTTCTGACCTTCATTGCTTGACTGTCTGGATTGCAACATTAACTATAACGACTCGGGCATTGTTTCTTAAATAACAGAATCTTGCATAAATATACTCGGGTGAATTTCTGCAAATGGCTAGCAAACAGAGGTTAACAGTGGAAATTGACCTACCACTGTGATTTAAAATGCAATATTTAGAGTTTTACTGCCAAAAAGGAGAGACTTGTTGCTGAACCTTTTCACCTTGCAATTGTCATACAAACACAATACCAAATTTCAAACAATCACAACAAGTTATACTATGGAGAAAAGAATGTGGATAGGTTGGCAAGTTGACTCTAATCGACCAAGGTATTGCTACGAAGAAAACAATGATGAACTATAGGCTCCCAATACTCCCCAGTTATTCAGAAAAGGTACAAGGTTTGAACATATTCCTTTTGTTTGCAGATACTTGTGCATCAATGTATCTTGCTTCGAGTAAACAGAAATGAGTCTTCTGACTGCCTTGGCTGATTATCTCCAATGATCCCTTTCCCTTATTGTTTAAATTGTTGCAATGGTTTGAAATGTGGCATTCTTGCAATTGTCCTGATGAGTGTCAGACAAAAAGCTTCAATGATGATATCACGATCCAGCAAGAGTTAAACTTTTACAAATCCTTCTGTGGGCAGTCAAAAAGTCTTAATACATGAGCTCACACAGGTGAAGCTGCTAAAAGTTACAATTGGCTGCGGTCAGACAGGATGCCTATTCTTATTCCCTGATTAAACCAGTTAAATCAAAAGCATGTGTCATTGGAAGCTTTCAACCAGACTTACTGGAATACATTGGGGCCAAATACTGTGGCGAGGTTGTAAATGGTCATTCGATTGGTCTTCTGGTCCGCAGCCACCTGGATCAGAAAGTGGCACAGGAATTTCAGCAGGGAATAGTTAACATCTGGAAGCTGCCTCAGGAGCCATTGTAACTCCTCTCGATCTCCGCTGCGGCCTGAAATGAAAATAAGAAATTAGTCTGTTTGAGCAGCAGTGCAACATACATCACTGCTCCCCTTTTACTGACCACTCCTTAAAATTCAAAGCAATGTTTCCCTGTATTTCAATTCCCAGTAAATTTGGTCAAGCTCTCTGTTACTAATTGTAAAGAAAGATTAGCATTTATATTACATGAAATTTACAGCACAGAAACTGGCTATTTGGCCCAAATGATTATTTATGCTGCTCATAGGCCTCCTCCCATTTTACTTCGTCTAACCCTATCCTGCGTCTTTTATGATCCCCTTGGGACATCCCAAAGCACTTTATAGCCAACGCTGTGCTTTTGAAATTAGCATAAGGCAGGGAATCCTAGTCAGTCAAATGCAGCACAGCAAGATCCCATAAGGATGGTGAACGGATAACAGCTTTTGTGGGTTTGGAAAACATTCAAAAAAAGGGAGAGAAAGTAACAATTTGTTATCTGGCTTAGTGATACACAGCAAGACTGTCCCACCTGTGAGAAAATATGAGTTTAATTGATTGGAGTGCCAAGGAGAAAATAGAAAATGCTGGAAACACCAAGCAGGTATTGCAGCAGCAATGAAGACAGGAACAGACAAGTTGACATATCAGGTCTGGACCTTTGCTCTGAACTAGCTTGGAGCCTGATCAGAGCTGATGGAATTGCACCAATAAGACTAAAACATTTTTTTCCTAACAGCTGCCATGAGTTTCCATCTTTGTGATGCTTTTGGTCTTTAGTTTCTGGCAGCCCTATCCCTCTGCCAGATGCCCATGGAAAAGGACATCCAGAGACAGAATTGCAACCTCATTCCACGACAACTGGTAAATATTTGCATTTTCTTGGAATGGAGGCAGAGGATATTTTTGTCATGAATGGCCTCACCTACAATGGGAAAGTATTATTCCTGAAGCAGCCGGCAGTTCACGGTTCAGGTCTGATTCATGCTTCTTGAGTGCAGCACCTTTCAACACTCTTTGGGTCTGCCTGGTACTCACCTTCATCCCATCTGCTCCAGTTTTTCACTTTAACAACCAATCCCCGCCAAACCCCTCTATACAACAAATGAACCAACTGATCCAGGAACGTCCATAATTGTAGTATGTTGAAAATTGCATTTTGAATTTTATCTACTTGAGGCCACCACATAAACATTTACCAGCAGAGGGTGTCTGGTCAAAAGAGAATATTAAAGAATAAATGATCCAGCTTGAGCAGTTCTCCTTCTAAATGCCTCTGGTTGAACATATAACCAGTTCTTTCCCAAAACGTCAGACTGATCTGTAACTTAACAAATCCCTCTAACTTTCCACCATGAAGGAAGTGAAAACAAGGGCTATAAGATGCTCAAGTGGGAAATCTTTCAGTAGGCAGAGGCAGGCCCCTCAATAGTTTTAGGAATATTTTGTTCTTCTAATGATTAAAATTATCCAGTGTTGGCTGCATTTACCTGTGAAAGTGCCGAATTATGGTCTGCTAATGCTAAAAGGAGAAGTCCCATGAGATCCACTTGAAGTTGCAAAGAGCATTGCAGTGCTCAAATAGTTAAATCTGTATCTGTCTAATCTACTAATTTGCTAAACTGCAAGAGCCATGTTACTTGAGCATTTCCTATGCAACTGTGACTTGGTTAATTGAGTATCATTACCCAAATGATCCTACAAAGCATGTCCCTTATCTGCTGAATGTATGTCTCCTCACAACTGACCCCATTCATCCGCCATTAACCAACTATTCAGGCCAATCTCCAGGTGGAGGGGATGAACGGTGAGTTCTACGCCACAATATTTCTTTGTATTTCAAGCACTTCATCTTGAAAGAACTTACATTTATATAGCACTCTGTCACCAAAGTCCATTCCAGTTAATGGACTACTTTTGAAGTGCGGTCACTGTTACAATGTAGTCAATTTGTACACAGCAAGCTCCCCCTAGCAGCATGTATAATACGAAGCAGGTAATGGAGACACTCACATCAAAGTCAAAAAGTTGTGGCTTCAATCTCACTCTGGAGATGAGAGCAAAATATCTCAGTGTCACTCCTGGTCAGAGCCTCACTGTCAGAGCTGCCATCCTATGAATGAGATGTTAAACTGAGACCCTATCTGCTCACTTGGGTGGAGCTAAAAGATACCATGGCACAATTTTAAAAGTGAGCAGGGGAGTTCTCCCTGGTGTCTTGGTCAGTATTTAAACTTTATTCATCATCACAAACACAGACTATCACATCATTTTTGCAATGCTGCTTGTGGGGACCTACTTTGTACAAACTGGCTGCTGCTTTTCCCACATTTCAAATGTATTTTGCATGGGGTTTTGGGATGTTCTGAATTCGGAAAAGGGTCTAGGCAAATGCAAGTCTTTGCTTTGTTTATCCTAATAGCAAAACACAACAACAGGCACGTGTGACATGCACATGCACACACACATGCACACATACATACACATGTAGACGCACACACACACAAACACATCATACAGATAAAATCTACTATTTATTGCTTTGGTGTGAAGAAGCTGTGAAGGAGGTGCTATTGCACAGTTGGTTGTATCACTGCCTCTGAGTCAGAAGCTCCTGGTTCAAGTCCCACTCCAGGTCTTGATGGCCAAGGAAGGGGTATTTATAACATGTTCAAACAGGCAGGGCTTCAGCTTGGAAGTGCTTGCAACATACACCAATGGCAAGAGCAGGAGAGATTCCTGGTCCACTCCATGACGGAGAGGAACTCAGAGCCTCAACCATAGCTCCAGGTGATATCAAAACCATCAACTCAGATCTCTGGGGACGCTGTCTGCTGTGTTGGCTAGACAGCTGGTCTGGAGCAGATCTGTGCCAACAGCACAGTATGTAATTCCTGTCCCAGCAGTGGAAGAATTTGGAGGCAAGGGAGTGAGATGTGGATGGGGGTGGTGGTGGCAGCTACACAGCAAGACACTCTGGGAAAAGGAACTGCACCCTGCAATGTGGTGAATTCAGGAGGTGCCTTCTTGACCTATCCAACGTGGGTGTGTTGGCATTGTGGATCTGACCTGTCTTTGTACAGAGAACTGAAGAAGAGGAAAGGAGCATGTGGCGACAGGTAAAAGAGTGTGACATTAACTCGTTAGGAGTTCAGAAAGTCAGAAAGTAATTTTCAAATTCCAACTCTCAAACACCAGCTACCTCGAAGAAAACAGTGAGAAAATAACAGAGGGCACCCAAGCAGCCTGTGCATCACTTTAACTAACACGCTACAGAAAGACTAGCTCTGTTAACTTTGTTCCATAGCAGTATTGCAGCTACACATCCTTACAACATCATCTTGTATTGCACAACATTCAAATTCAAAGACTAAACGTCCAATGCTCCAATGGAGCTGATTAGTATGTGATCAAGTATTTATTATTTCCCCATTGCCTGGAGAGACACAATTATCATCTGACTTGATGTTAATCGCTCCTGGATATGAAACCTCCCAGACACAGGAAGGTCAGTTGGTGCAATGGTCTCGTTTTATGTGACTGACCATGTTATACCTCCCAACGATTATAAATGTTAGTCAAAATAGCTTCTCCCAACTGGGTGATAAAGCACGTACCAAGTTTAGACAAACTACAGCAACATGGGGTGGGTGGAATGCACTGATTGTGCCATTCTCATTTTGAACACACATATGCATACACACACAGACAGAGACAGATAAACACACACACACACGCACAGAGACAGACAGACACACACATACACACACACACACAAACACAGATGCACAGACACACACAGATATACAGATACATAAACCCAAACACACACATAGACACATGCTGACAGATCTACATAGACGCACACATACACAGATACACACACACACATACATAGACACACACGCAGACACACATACACAAAAAACACACACTCAGTCTTCACAATTACAGGTAGACAGCTGGATACACGTAAAATAGTGACAGAAGATATGACCAAAGGCAGGAAGGAGATTAACTTGCTCGCTCGTTAGCCAACTGCATGTGCTGGTCGGGTTCCATTACGGTAACTCAGCTTCTGATATGGGCAAAAAAGCTGAACTCCAGAGATGAGGTGAATGACTGCCCTTGATATCAAGGCATCATTGTACCGAGGGTGGCATTAAGGAGCTCTAGACAAACTGGCATCAATGGGAATTGGGGGAATATGCCAGAGTCATGCCAGGCACAGAGGAAGATGGCACAGAGGCAGATGAGGCCAATCATTTGCAGTAGCTCCTCAGGGTAATGTCTTAGGTCCAACCATCTTCAATTGCTTCATTAATGACCTTCCTTCCATCATAAGGTCAGACGTAGATATGTTCACCGACAATAGCACCATGTTCAGCACCAATCACAACATCTTAGATACTGAAATCAAATACAGACGCTGGGAATTCTGTACTATGTAAATCACCTCCTAATTCCCCAAAGCCTCTCCAACATCTACAGGACATAAGTCAGGAGTGTGATGGAATACTCCTCACTTGCCTGGTTGGGAGCAGCTCCAATATCAACAACAACAACAAAAGTTTGGCAATGTGCATGGACAAAACATCCCCATTGATTGGCACTGTATCCACTCAAGTGCAGGCGGTTATCTCAGGGCTCAATTACTAGGGCCTGAGATTCTAGGGGTCCCACTATAGGTGGGGGGAGCAGCTGGGCCACTAGGATCTGGAGCCGGGCACTGTAATTTCTTTAAAAACCAAAAGAACTGTGGATGCTGTAAATCAGGAACAAAAACAAAGTTGCTGGAAAAGCTCAGCAGATCTGGCAGCATCTGCGAAGGAGAAAACAGAGTTAACGTTTCAGGTCCAGTGACTCTTCCTCAGAACTTTAATTTCTTTTCCTGCCCTTGTAATCCACCACCCTCTACACTCACTTCCTCCACCACCAACTCACAGTGATAGCAGTGTGCACCATCTATGTGACACACAGGGGCAACAGATACATGGGAACACCGCCACCTGCAATTTCCCCTCCAAGCTA